ATCAGAAGTATTTTGCGTAGACAACTGTTAATAAACACATGTATCTTCTGGATGATGGATTTCGTAGTTCTCCAGGTTTCCGCCCCATACAGTAGAACTGTCTTGACATTTGTATTGAAAATTCTGACCTTGGTGTTGGTTGATAGACAGTTGGTTTGAGTTCCAGATGTTCTTCAGTTGTAAATATGCTGCTCTTGCTTTACCGATCCGCGCCTTCACATCTGCACCAGATCCACCATGTTCATCATTGATGCTGTCCAAATATGTAAAGGTTACTACATCTTCCAAATCTTCTCCGTCAAGTGTGACTGGATCGGTGCATTCTGTGTTGTATCGGAGAATCTTGCATTTCCTTTTGTGTGTATTGAGATCTACTGCTGCTGAGGCTGCTGCTGCTGCTACACTGGTCGTTTTCTCTTGCATTTGTTGTTGCGATTGCGATAGGAAGGCCAGATCAACTGCGAAGTCTAGATTGTCCAGTTGCATCCTAGATGTCCACTGCATCCCGCGTTTCCCTTCAGATGTTTACATCTTTATGATGCAGTCTATCAACAGAAGAGGGAGAAAGGGTGAGAGTAGGCAACCTTGCCTAGGCAACCTGCCTCTAATTCGAACGAGTTTGTCAACTGTCCTCCACGCGCGATAAGCCAGTCAATAACCATAATAATAACTATTTTCATACAAACTCTGAGGAAAACTTCACGCCATTATCATAGAAATGGATTGCGAGTTAAACTCTTTTTGGCTAAAACCTATGCTTTCACATGGATTGCGTTGGCTTTTTAGATTTACGAAGACTTAATCGTACTGTACATTACTTGTGAGGTTATTATATTAGAAAAATTGATTTCACATGTGAGCACAGGTATCCATTCATTCCCTTATTTTGTATAGAGACTTTATTCTCTACTATTTTTGTAATGAATGCTGAAAGACATTGTGTGGCTGAACAAGTATCTGTGAGCAAAATAAAGTTCTACTCGCCATTAGTTTGACTTTTTCTGTCAGCAGAACGAGGAATACCAACAGGCAGGAAAAATGCAAAATTTCTATAAGTAACATGCTGAACGACTAATTTTCTGATTTGAAATTGGGTATTTAATGAATCCTAAGGCTTCAAACAGAGGTACAGAAATTCTAGTACCTTCGATCACGTGCACGAAATGAAGTAATATGTCTAACATTTCCCTCAAGGACAAGAGAAGTTTTAGGCATATGGTGGAGACTAAATGAATCCCGAACGAATATATGTGAAATAAATCACTTTTTGTGTTTGTATAATTTGCTTAATAACCATACCTTAGAGAACAGGCAAATGAGATTATTACTAATCAAGTGAGCATTTATCGAAGAAAAATGGGCATGTAAGATCCATTATGAATGCTTTGTGTGTTGGTGAAAATCCCTCCATGTATATACTTGCACTTTGTTCCTATTGATCCCCATAGTCGTACATTGTTGTCTTTTGATTACATTTGAAGTGTTAATATTTGTATTTTTTATTGTAGTTTTTGTTTTTCTTACGCCTTCACTAAGTTTTGTGTTTTTTCCCGAACTGCGTCTGTGTTGTTTTACTTGACACTTGTTCTTGGCGGCAGTCATGTTGATTTGCTCCTCCTTTTGTGTATGTCCTGTCCAGTCAGAATAGAATAACGTTCATTTGTTGTGACTGATAATTTTCCCTCGTCTTTTATCAACTTTATTATTGTAATTTAGATTTGATTGATTGAACAATTATTGGTTGAATAGCCGGGTGGTAATATTTGTTTAGGTAACGATTTACATATAAATTTATAGTGAATTATAGAACCACTATTTATCCGATTACTTGTTTTGATTTTGATGGGCGAGGGTGCGTGTCTAATTTACCCCATAGGCTACTCAACAGTCCAAACCGTAGTTTGGATTCTACAGAGCAAAGGGGATGTAGATCGTGTTGGTGCTAGAGTTTTCACAAGGATGCATAGGAATCTGGAAACTTTTCATGCAACAGCATCTCATCTTTAATAGGACCATATAGTCAAAGACAACTAACATATTCTGGACGGAAGACATCATACATTGGGCCAATCAGTGTATTTCTCAAACGTTTTCACACACCCTTATCATCTACTTTGGTTGGAACTGAAATTACTAATACGGATTCAAATGCACATACGAGGCCTCGAGAAAATCAAGTATATTGTTTTTACATATTTGCTGAAAACTTAAAAACTATTAGATGCACACACGCAGAACGCATCAGTGTAACGGTAAGCCACTAGCTGGAATAAACTGTGTGGTGTAGGAGCATACAAAATAATGTGAGGAGAGCTGGAGAAGAGAAGAACAAAGGAAAAGGATAAGTAACGATTCAGCAAGCGCCAAAAATGCACTGACATATAATAAGGGGAGCAACAGGCGACAGTCAGTAATGACAACAGCGCTGAATAGAGGCAATCTTGAAATGGAAATCAGAAAAGCATAGCGTGAAGTTAAAGTATTTTACACTCGATCATAATCGAAAAGAATCCTACAAACGACAGTTCATAGTTGCAGTATCTAGTTAAAGAGAACAGTTATACATACAGTCTCGTCATCTCCACAGAAAAGTAGTTTGAATTGGGTCTAACAAAGAGAAAAAAGCTAGCGCCAAGTAGACCTCCCTAAAGTGGTTCTCTGTGTGTCTTCTACGCTGATTATGACTTCACTTGAATACATTTGATTTTTGCCTTAAGGAACTCCAGGTGACAAAGCATCTAGTTCTGATGAAGATGAAAAATTAAACTCGACGTCAAAGTATTAGATTTGAATAGTGCCACATTTTCACAGAAGAATTACTGTTGTACAGTCACAATTAACAACTTGAATGTTATCCTATTTATACGAAAGAAAAATAATCTCCTTGCAAAAACCCCTCAAGTTTATTAAAAGCCACTGAATGTGATTTGCAAACTATCTTATCCAGCTGAATTTTCGCCTATATTCTTCTGAATATACATAAAATCTTCCCCTTATGTATATAAAAAAATTTTTCTCATTTCAGATGCATATTGTTTCAAGCTTCTCTGTTTCATCCCGCTTTCTGCTAGTTATCAGATCATATTACAGTACGGAAGTAAATGGGACGGTGAAGAAGTCGGACAACTGGTTTTCGTGCACACGTTACATGTTGTAGAGGACTTCGGATGTCATTATTTACCAGCTATTAACAGTGTATTTTCCGCCACACGTCAGTTCTCGTAATGTTTATGCTTATGACATAGCTTTTATTCTAGTTTATTGGCAGTTTGGCGTAGTTGTTGCTCACAACCTGGGTGAATGTTTAGTTAACCTGATGTGGTTATTTGTAATAAAGCAAACTCAAGCAAGTGAAATACACCATTTATCAAGTCAGAAATGGACCACAGTCAGGTTTCTAAGCAAATATGAGCTCTAAAACCCTTTGCACTTGACTCACCTCCATAATTAGGGTGATTATGAACATGGATGTTGTCAGTTGTTTATAAAATGTAGGTTGAAGAAATTGGGCTTTTAAACGAAACGACAGGCGGCTTTGAACGAACCTGATGTTTTTTTCTTTCTGTAGCAAATGTTGTGGTGAATTTGAAATCAGCTACCTTTCCGTCAAGGTCACGTTTGTGTTATCGCTCACCCTAGTAACTATTTTGTTAAAGAAATACGTTTTTGTTAAAGGCTGGCGATCTTACCTCAGGTAATGTAATTTAAGAGGTCTAGTTGATGTTAGGCACAGTTCAATCCGGAATATATTATTGATCATAGGTTTTATTTCGCAATATATATTGTATATACATTGTCTGTAGTCTTTAATAATTAGGATAGGTGGTCTACCAACCTATAATAATCCTTGGAGTTTGTAAAACTGTGGAGGTTCAATCTCGTTTTGAATATATCGGCAGAAGGTGCTGATATTACGTGTTCCGATAGAGAATTCCACTAATTCACTACACGGTGCGATAAACGAAACTCCAAACGTAAACAATCCGATCTCGGTTTTTGAAATTTCTTCGAATGTACTCTCAAATGATCAGTCCTAGACGGAAGGGAAATACAAGACATATTAATACCAATGTCATCGTTCGGTGTACGATGTTAGATCAATATTACATCACCATATATTCTTTGGTAAAACAATGGAAATACGTTTGGTTGTCTCAGTCTGTCTTCATAAGATAGGCCAGATAGACCTTTTACCATCTTAGTCCCTCGTTCCAGCATATGGGCTTCATACTTAAAAAAATATTCCACATGCGGTCGCACGAAAGTCAGGGATAATAATCTGAACATTTCATCATCCAAATACTGGAATGACCTACGAACAAAGTGTAGTACCCTATAGCCTTTTGCAGCAGCCTTACAGTGGCTCGCAGTTTTGAGATCACTGCTCAGTATCACTTCTTAATCTTTATAGTTTCTTACTTTGGGTAGCACGGACCCACATTTTTTGTAGTGATACGAATCAATATAGTTATTTAGCTGCATCATCACACTCTTGTTAGGATTTACTTCTAGTGCCCACCTGTTCATCCATGCCACCAATGAGCCGCAACCATCCTGTATTAATATTCTATCTGACATGCTGTGCAGGGGTTTTCAAATCTTTATGTCATCGGTGAAGAGTAGAACGGGTGATTTTGCTACAGTTGGTAATTCATTTACATAAAGTAAAAAGAGAAAAGGACCCAGGGTTGTGTCTTGGAGAACTCCACTTTTTACAGGTTCCCACGATGAGAGAGCTCCATTTACCTTTACTCTTTGTCTCCTGTCATGGAGAAAGTTACTTATCCAACCTACGACTTCATAATGGATTCCAAAACGTTCCAGTTTGAATTTAAGACCAGAATGGGATACCTTATCGAAGGCCTTATTTAGATCTATGAAGATCATATCTACAGAAATATTCTGATCTTTTGCCGCAGCCCAAACTTCTCTTGCAATGCGAAGATTTGTCAAGCATGATAGGCCTCTCCGAAAAACATGTTGTTCCTCTGGATAAAAGACCATGCCTTTCCACATAGTTTATAACAGCTGTCCGGATGATTTTTTTCCATTAGTTTTACAAGTGCAGTAGTTAAGCTAACGGGTCGGTGGTTAGTAACTAGATTTCTGCTTCCTGTCTTATAAACCGGACTAATTATCGCGTCTTTCCAGTCTCTAGGCACTCTGGACTACCTCAGAGACATATTAATCAGTATCGCTGAAGGCTCAGCAATTACATCTGATAGGCTTTTCATAATCTTAGGATTAATATCATTAGGACCACTGGACTTAGGTTTGAGGTGATGAAGTAGTCTTAAGACATTATCTTTCTCAATAACTACAGTGCTCATCAACAAGCCAATACAGTCACAATAAGTCGTTGGTCGTTCCTCGTTACTGATAGAAGACACTTTACTGAAATAATTCGATAAAGCATCAGCTTTTTCAGTATCATTTCTTACCAATATTAACGGATTCTCTCGCATCCTAAGTGGTGGAATTTCATCGCTTCTCTGAGTTCTTCGTTTTATATACGAGAATAACCGTTTCGGACCATATTTACAATCCCTAACCAATTGTTTTTTATATAACTGTCTAGTCTTACTTATTAACGCTTTAAAAGCCTTCCTAATGTTACAGGAACTGGATCTGTGCTGTTCTAAGCCAGAAGAGATGAATATTTCTCAGTGCTTTTTTGTGTGTCTAATATGTTTCTTGACTTGTTTAGTTATCCATGGTGAACGGTTATTCGGTCTACGTGATACTAGTCATGGTAGAGACAAGGACGTATCTGAACTAAACTTGCCTTTAAATGTAGACCATTCGGCTCCAAGTGATTAGCTAGTATCTACTGACCAATCTGTCTTAGCAGAGCACTCCTGAATGGCTATGTTAAATCTCCATACATTTAGTTGAGGCTTAACTTGATTGCATATCATGTCACTAGCTCTAACCATGAACGACAAAACAGCGTGATCGTTATTCACTAACGGTGAAAGAATATTTAGGTTGGCAATATCCCCAGTCTCATGAGTGAATACCAAGTCCAACAGAGAAGAACCTTGGTTTGAGTTTGGATACATGCTGTACTAACGCATGCTCCATTACTGTTATCAGGAACCTACTATCAAAGGAGTTTATAGATCCTTCCGTGGTTATCTCAGTCCAACGAATATCAGGTGCATTAATGTCTCCTAATATCAAGCATCCGTTATTTGCACTTCCTAGCTGAATGTGCTCTAAAAATAAAATCATCAGCTAAGCAGATTAGGCTGCGATAGATGACACCGAGTATAAACGTACAACATTCTCTGGTAAGCTCACAGATAATGACTTCAGAAGTTCCACTATCACGGGATTCGCAAACAGAGGAGCGCATATTTATATTGTCTACGTATAAAAGTTGCTTCCAGGTCTCCCTATTTGGGAGAAACGGCACGAAAACCCCGAAATTTCCCCAGGTCTGGAAAAGATTCCAAAGTTTTGTGGAAATTTTGAGTTTTCCCCAAACATTTAGGGATGTCATTCTTTTTGTCTCGACATTTGTCGATGATCTAGTTCTATTTAGTGAAGACGCTGACAAAATGCAGTCTTCTGACCACTGTAAACAACAATGTAAACAGATTCGGGATGCAATCCTCTCCCTTGAAATGCAAAATGTTACTTCAGGATTGAGTTGCATCGGCACCTGAACTAATGATAAGAAGTGAAGTAGTTGAGCGCGTCGACTGCTTCACTTGGGAGTCTTATCAGCCTTTGTGGTCTTGTGTGTGACGAAATCTCTGCACGGATACAGAAGGCTCGACTAGCTTTTGCCAACTTGTTTCATTTGTAGCGTAGACGAGATATCCGTCCACCAAACAAAGGACGTGTTTACTGCGCAGCAGTTCGCTTTGTTCTACTTTATGGCTGTGAAACATGGCCGGTAAGAGTAGAGGATATCCGTAGGTTACTATTATTTGATCATATGTGTCTTCGAAGCACTTCCCGTATATCCTGGGACCATCGAGTAAGCAACGTAGTTGTTAGGAAACGGGTACTAGGTAAGGGTGGCAAATCAATTGATGAAGTAGTGAAACTTCAACAGTTGAGATGGCTGGAATACGTGTTACGTATGCCCAACCACCGACTGCCTTGACGTGCGATGCTCAATGGTATAGGAGTAGGTTGGAAAAAGGCTAAAGGCGGCCAGACCAAAACATGGCACAAGTCCATGAAGTCACTGACAAGTGGACTGAACCATGTTAGTAGATGTAGACTACCTGGTTAGGATCCGCGAGACGATAGTAACCTATGGTTAGAGACCTTGAATGACATGGCTCGAAATCGTTTGCAATGGCGCAGGTGCATCCAATCTTTGTGTTCTCCCATATTCTTATATGATTTCTTCATGTCCCTTTCTTTTTGTCTCTTTCCAAATTTGTTTCACTGGATTATACTCCTTGAATAACATCTCCAAACCCTAATCTTTCCGATTAATTCCTATACTTTTACTACCTTTACCACTATGAGGTTTGAATCGACAATTGTATCTCTGTGCTAATCGGACATGGCAGCTTGAGCTGATATACGTACTTACGAAGTTCTACTTTGTTGCTGACTGGTTGATGCACCGCACATTAAAGTTTTGATGTATTGTATGGAACAGCAAGCTAAGTAAAGTTAGTGTTTGTACAAAATTCTTTGAATAGTTCACTAGTTTATCTTATTCTAATTCTTCCCTTTCATGTAAGTTTTAAACTCGAATGCACATAATTATCACTGGTTTTGGGCTTTATGGAAGTTGCGAATACAATTCTAGTTCGTTGGCTGTTAATCGTTTGAGACAAATTTGGAATAAAACGTATACTGATGCTTTTACTGGTATAAAACTACACACAATAGAGAATGTTCCTGTAACGTATAAAGCTGTTGACCAATGCGTTAATTCTATCTGGAAAGAAAACCCTGTAAGTAAAATACCTTTGTGTAAGCTGAAGATTTTATGCAGCTGATTTAAGCTAATCTTTGTGATCTTATTAATTGCGCGATTTCAGTGGAATATAGGTTGCTAGTTTCTTCTTTATTTTACAAGCCCATTTTCTTTCTGCTGTTTCTTACCAATAAATCAGAATGGTGTGATTTTTAATGTGACCATTTTTAGATGTGATAACTGGAAGTGTCGATGATATGTAGTGTATATATTTTTTCGTTGCTTCGAGGCAATGTCTTGGTTTTCGTTTACCCACTACTAGGTAACACTTTGCTAACGAGTGCCAAGTAGCGCAAAATCTATGTCTAGGATATCATGTCGACCACCTCCAGCCACTATCCTACATCTCAACATAATGCATGTGATTATCGAGTCACTTAGATTTGTAGCCTCATTGCAACTCTATAGACAGAATTTGATCAGCACTAAAGAAAGACTTCACATACATGACATTGGTCGCTGCTCAGTGATCGATCAATTTAAAAAAAGATCTTAGGAGTATCATTGTTCTCATATTTTTAAGTGTTTCCTGACAATATAGTATATTGAAATGCATTATTACCACTGTTAATTAAATGTCTCTATTTGGTTACACTTACCACTTTTCCAACCGACGTCCATTTTAAGCAAGTTGAAGTAGGCAGTGACTGGGCATATATACTTTCAACCATCTCACTTGATAGAGGTTTGAATTCAAAGTACCTAGAGAGCATTTTCATATTCATATAATCCCATAAAATCGAATGTGAGGTTTTAGGCATGTCTTAACATGGTGTTTTTGAAGAACATGGAAAGTGGTTATAATTATTTTTGGATTTTTTAATTTAATATCTGAAATCAGTAATGTAGACCTCTATAGGCGGTCAACTTAATTGGTATCCAGCATATTTTACACTGATACTTCATGCTATTAGGTCACATCCCTTAACGTGCTGTCTAGTAGGAATTCAAGTCAAAATTGCCACTCCTTCGTCCTTTCAATCTTAACTGATATTTAAATCTTTTTGAAAGGAGTGATAACTATATCAGACCAAAATATATTCACATGTTATGGAGTATTTCGTCATGTGGAGAATATGTGTAAAGTATTGTCTTAATGGTCTTTAATTACAAAGTCTCGTACTTTACGTTGTGTTTAGTTCTTATCAGTCAATGTTTTTAATACCAACAGACTAAGATAGTTTTTAGGTGTTATCTGTCTAACTTATTGATTTCCATTAGGATTTAGTGATACATGTCGGTATGGACACCAGTGTGACGATGCCAGTTTTGGAAACTCTGTCATATAATAGTGGTTACGATAAACCAGATATGGATGGCGCTTATTGTGGAAATAATGGTTGTGTTAATATTCATGGTGAACCAATCCTTTATTGTAACATGAATTTGAGTAAAGCATACAGTAAACTAGTGGATAGTCATATTGCTTGTTCGATTTCAAATGATCCAGGCAGGTTTTTATGTGGCTATATATACTACAAGTTAGTTCTATCCGTTATTACTTCTATCAATTTATCCTGTTGTTTAATATAGATCACTGGAATATTCACCTGATCGAGTTGTTTTCATACATGTCCCATGTGCAGCTAGAATGTCTGTTGAAGATACTGCTATTTCACTTCTACAGATAATTCGTGAACTAACTGCTTTAAAAGGAGTTATAATTCCTTATACATTGACTACTTAACAGCAAACTTCTTAAAATTTTATTTCTTATAAATTTTTGTGAGTAAATTAGTAGAACCTCAATTAACCTGCGCAGTGGTCTTCTCTATACACTGAGAAAAGCTGATTTCATGTCATTATTTTTATACTCATTATGCCTGCATTCTTTTATGCTCTGACGGCATTAACAAACCATTAAAATGAACTCAATTTTCTGTACAGAATAATTTACTTTCAGGTATAGAAAAAATAAATTCATGTTCAGGTTTCTTATTTTGCTTTGTTGACCTGATTATTAAAAACAAAAGTGTTTGAAATTCATGCTAACATTTATATATAGTAAGTACTAAACAAGTAATTATCGATCTATTTTTCAACAATTTCATATCTGTCATAGTTTAAAACAGTAACGACAATCTCTGTTTCAAAAAGCCCAAAAATAAATGTTAAGGCGGTATTGTTTTTACGGAGTGATGTGTTTCAGTCGAAGGAATTCTATTTACAGTCTTTGAATCTATATCCAAGCTCTTATTGTATTTAACATGTATTTTATTATACATATACCAAGAAACTACTTATTTCGACTTATTATACTGACTAAGATGGGCTTAAACTAGAAGACTATGGATAGACTATGGTATATCATCAGTACATGAAATCATTACTTATTGATCTGGAACATTTCAAGAGGTTCAGGCTTCCTCGTTTTGCTAGGCAGGGTTGTCATAGTCTGTCGTAGGAAATTTTAGATAACGTGGTTTAAAATCAGTCTGAGTAGTCGGATGCACTGGGTTTTTTTTAACCTAAATTTTGAGTTTGCCACAACTGACTGACCAATTTGATTTGTAACTTCAGAACTATTTATTGTACGTCCAGTTTTACAGTATTATCAGTTTAAGTTACACCTAGTTATGCTGTACCTTAAAGTTACTAAAAAGGATTATTATGTGTATGTGATCAGTACTTTATTCTAGATAATTTATTATGAAGATGATTGCATTGAAGTTAACATCATGATGGTATTAAAGCAAGAAATTATGAAGCGTCAACCATCATTTCTTCAAACAATTTAGAAATATTTGTACATAATCATTTCGTACAAATCTCAGAATACACAAATTAATGAAGATCCAGATTTTGAAGTATTTAATCTATGATCAGGCAGTTATCGATATTTTCACCTGACGAAGTTTGTTTCAGAGTTTTCAGTAATAATTTGTATCTTTTTTCTGAGTTGCCTGTTTATTGCACATAATTGTTAATGATTTTCTTGACGTTGATCAGTTGAATCGTCCGTTATATTCTTACTGTGGTAAAGTGATTCCACGAAATTTAGAATTATCCAGTAATTCGTCCTCTTCCTATTTTTTCCGCTACTGTTATTCTTCCTCTTAGTGACTTCCTTTTACTGTACTGATTTAAAATAGTATATGAACCTGTACATGTTTTGTTTTAAATAACTATATACTACTTAAAAGGATTCAGTAGATGCACATATTTAGAATTTGCACATGCACGCAAAATGTCAATACATTGTAGATTCGTGAAGTAATACATTCACCACTGAATTACCATATCATATTAAGGGATTGAATACCATCTTAATGAAATTAACATGTGGAATAATATAAAAATACATGCTAAAATCATTTCTACATAAGAGAATCAAATCTGCAAGAATAAATGATAAAATGTAAAGTCAATTGCAAATATGAGAATCATGCAAAAAATGTTTAGGACTAAGTGAGTCAAGAATAAGGAACACATTTATTAGCAAATAATGAAGTGATATACATAAAGTCTTGCAGAAGTTAAGTAATGGGGAACTACTTGTTAATCGGTTTTCATTAGAGAAGGAAACCAACTGAATTGCTTGTTAATAATTTCATGTAACGATCGAAGATGAACGGCGAACACGTTTATCACATATTAGGTTTTGTTTCTCAATAAGTTCTGCAACATTTTTCATCTATATATTTGAATAAATAGGGAAAAATTCTATTCTAAAACTCGTTGAAACGCTAATTTTAAAAAGAAGTAATCTTACGTGGTGCTAGCTATATTTGAAAAGATTTTATATCTCCGACTGAAACATATCAGATTCCTCCATTTCGAACTACGTTTATCTCATTAATGAGATGAATGGGTACATACCTACTTTATTCAACGCCGAAATATAAGTGGTAAAGCGTATTCAATGAAGTGCACTTTCAAAAGTGACTGGATAAACTACTAAATATATTTTTGGGAAAACCTTGAGATAAAACGAATATTTTTACGTGGTACCAGAAAAAAACTATATCCTTAGGAACTTTTATAGATGGTTTAAGTTTTAGGATAGAGTGTTATTGAATAAAAAAACTAATGTCATATAAATCTATTTCTATGAGCTTATCTAATTCTATTGATAGATTTACGATGTAGTCACCAGTGTTATTGACTCAGCTTTTAATCCTATATGTTTACTATCAATCGGTAGGTTTTCCTCATTTCAGCTAGTTAGCACATTAGAATACACAACCTTTCAGTAAAAATTAAGGTAATAGAAATTAGTATATTCATCCTTACCATAAGCTTCATAGTTATTAAGAGGACGCATGCAGGAGTCACTTTTCTTTTGTAGAAGTTAATTTTTAGCAATAGGAATATTATGAAGTGATACATACATGAGGTCATCTGCTTTAATCCTACCTGTGATGTAGATTAGTGGGGTACTTTATATAAATTGTGAATGTGTACCAACTCATATACTGATCAGTTTATAATATTTTTGTCAGGATAAAAAAGTGCGTACCCGTTCTAAGTGGGTTATTTTATGGTTTAATTTCATATATATTTCAAAACAATCTGTCGTATTTTTATTATATTTAAGTGCCTTAATAAACTTATAGCAGGACTGAAATATTCTATGAAGGTTTCTGGCTTTTATTCATGTTCAGCTATCTCCTTCCTAGTCAAATTATGGACATTTCTAAACAAGTATACTTCTGACCATCATATATTTGCAAGGTATTTCTCATAACTGTGATATACTACTGGACTACTACAGCGATTGTGTTAGTTAATTTGTGATAAAATTGCAAAAATTGAAGTACTGTGTACGCTGTAACTACAACTACGAAGAAAAATGTTTTCTTTAGAAAACAAAGGAAAATACTTAGGCACACCCCTTTTTTGCTATCGGTGAACATTATTCACAATGATACCATTTCGAATATACAGTTACAACGTGAAATTCCTCTTCAAATTTGAACCAGGTAGTAGTTATTTATGAAAATTCAGTAAGTAAAAGTTTGTTAATCTACTGGGCGACGAGTAGTATATAAATTGATCTGTTAAAAACAATTTACCTGAAGTAAAAGCTGATACAGTAACATGGTATTTATATTTTCATCCTCAGAAAATTTCGGCGATGAAACATGTTCCATTGATCGACATCGAGACTTAAGTTGTTTTGCATGAATAGAAGATGATCTGGAAATCTAAAGAGAATTTGTAATTATAACTAATGGGATTAAAACTAATAACATTCACGCAACTTATTGTGAAATTAATTATCAAAATCTTCATTATTTTACAGATCATATTTGTTAGCAAGTATTCACTTTATCTATTATTTTTTTCGGGTTGACATGTTGTAATTCTTATCATTTCTTTAGGGCGTTATTACCGTTTTCAAAGTCTGTTATATTCAAAGTTTGACATTTTTTACAATAGTATATCGACATACATACACAAAATTATTGGAAAGTTCTTCGCCGTTAGTTTTCTACTGGTCTGTAACATGTTTTCGTTTTACATTGATATTCAAACAACTGGTGAGAATTTCTGATCAGAAAACTAATGGGCAGTAAAAATGTACACAATTTATCACATAAGAAGTCAAGTCTGAAAATGAAACTGCTGATTGAAACAGCGTACATTATAACAAAAGTTTATATAAATTGAAATGAGATTTATTTAGTGTATCTTTCTTTACATCTTGATCAAACATGTATACATCTAATCTTTAAATATTTGACAACTTACACAAGAAAATTGAAAGTATGTTTAAAGTGTTTTGTTGTATTCTGCTGTTTACTTTACTAGAATCGATGACAATATAATCAATTTTATTATTATTATTAGCTTTATTCAATATTATATTATTGGTACAATATAGAATTTTCAGCACAAAGTATTTCAACAAGTTTCCGTTTCTTTCTTATTGGTCGGTCCTCGCGATAAATACTAAGTGGTCGCCAGCTAGATGTTATCAGTCCAGTAAATGAACATGGGAATGATGTACATTCTTTTCGTTGTATATTACCAGCAACCATATTCTCTCTTTTTGAGCTTTTTGTAACTTTGATAACGAAAGGTTGTACATTTTTCAGAAACGCAGCAGAATAGGTTGTGCGATTAATAGACATAATGATATATTAAAACAAACAACAATAGATAACTTGTTGAAATATCTCGATGGCAGGAACAGGTAGCCCAGATGCTCAAGCAGGCCGGCTCTTTTGCAGTTCAAGCAATATATAAAACAAATTTTAATCATCCTTTGTTCTTTTTTGGAACAAATTTTATTTATAAGGAAATAAAGTTGTGGAAAAGCCAGTTATCTAGTACTACTTAGCTATATCAATTGGTTTATAATTTACACTATGATGATTCATTTCGCTGACTGGATTCTCCTTAAAAAATTTTCTGAGCATATTAATAGTTATTTCCTTTTAAAAATGAACTTACTTTACGTGGATAAACTGTTTGATTTTGTACAATCGGTTCATCATTTATTCCCTTTATATGATTATCTGAAGTAATAAGTTTATCACTTATACTTAGATCGTCTAATTGTGATAGCATAGAATTGCATGTAGACTTAACGTTTTTCAAACTTATTTTTCGTTTTGTAGCCAAACTAATTTGTTCTTTATTTGAAACATCACGTAATTTATTAATTCCATTTATTGAAGCATTTTTATCATATTGACATCGATTTGATTCATTGTATAGTGTTAAACATTCC